TCACTCTGCTAATGTTACCATGTTATGGCTTCGTGAAAAAGATTGGCGGGCATCTAATCAGCCGCAACGTGGAAATGGAATAAGTACCTTACTCGGCTGACCTAAACCCCATTATTTCTTCCACTGGGGTTTCCTCAAGAACAACATCTACCAGGACAACCCTCGCGCCATTGCTGCATCAAAGGCAGCTATCACTGAGAAGATTCATGCGATCACCAAAGAGGAATGTGCACGCTTTATCAACATCTTTGCGTTTAACAATGCCTTCAATTGAATGGCTGACATCTAGAACATTCAATCTATGCCTCCTCTGGACACTTTTGGTTCATATTTGAGACTAAATGGTTCCAGATCCGAAAATATTATCCCTTTATCCTTCAATAAATGTAATTTCCATTCCTCTATCATTTGTGGTCTTTGATTTATGCCCGACCATTTTGTTTCAAAAATTGTGAAACATACTGTATATTCGAGAATATTTTGATGACCGCCTCCTGTCAGTTGATCTCTTCCTGACTTAACTCCCACGGCTGAATAGGGAAAAAAACTAGCTGATACCAATCAATACACTCAAGACTATTCGTCCTGGGTATGACGATAAACTACATCCTTGTCCTGGGTAAGACGATAAACTACGCCCAACAGCAAGTCCACTGATCAGGAGGTTTTGAGGAGCGTAGAACCACTTCTTTATTGCTCGTGTTCCCAGGTCCACCCTGACACGGGGTGGTAGCACTTGTTAGGGTCGCAGCTATGAGCAAATAGTTAACCCCCAAACTAGGGCAAAGACACCATGAAAGTGTATAAATAGGTTTTATTACCAGAAATATTTTGTAAAAAAATTATTACCAGCAACAAATATTTTAAGGAAAAAATTATTATCAGTAATACTTAAAAAATATATATATATTACCAGCAATACAAACATCTATACATTTTGTTTGAAAAAAAATATTACCAGCTATACATTTTTTGTAAAAGTATTACCAGCAATAGATTTTTGAAGAAAAAATATTCCCTGAAATAGATTTTTGAAGAAAAAATATTACCAGCAATACATTTTTGGGGAAAACAGATTACTAGCAATAAAAAAACAAACAAACTTGTCGGCATTAAATATCCCATTGAAGTTGATATGCCGTAAAACAAATCAAATCAAACCAAACTCAGCTATGGGGAAATAGATACCCCCGCAAAAAAGGGTGTCAAAACACTATTAAAGTATTACAAAAATATATATTTTAATATCAGCAATACAATTTTAGATAGAAAAGAATTACGAGAAATAAAAATCTTATCAGCCTTCGTAACCCACTAAGGTTGATATGCCGTAAAACAAACCAAACGAAGCCAAACCTAAAACTAAACTGGTAACATTACTTCACCACTGAGGTGACCGTAAATCTGCACCAATCCTGATGAGTAACCATATCATTAAAGAGACTCCCAGACTCGAACGCCTACTGGGACAAAATCTTACTCCTGATGTCAAATGGAACACGTATATTCTTGTCTTGTCAAGAATGGTTGGTTCATTCAACTGTTCCAATAAAACTTAAATCCCGCTGCCACACGCTACCATTATAAGAGGCAGATCAGACCAAGCGTTGAAGCATTGCTGACATATCTGGGCTGGTGCTGCAAAATCCTCACTGCCCAGCTTCATAGTGTTCAGACATATGGATGGTGAATTATTCTCGACTCTATAATCCTTATCCCACATACGAAAACACGTCACACTTTCACTGCTATGTCGCTTTAATATTACCGATGTTCGGACGAGTTTTCCTTCGTGCCACCAGCTCAGACCTTCGCAAATAGGACGCGTTCTGCCGTGTTCACAGTGGCAAACCTTCTCCATCTCCTTCTTCTTTCTTTGATAAAAACACATCCCATTCACGCATTTTCTTCAACAGAACTCTTACTTTGTAGAACAAGCTCTCGAGAGAACGTTTTTTCGACAACTCCGATTTTAGCCTCTTTACAACCGAAATGTATCCTACTCGACAAAATCTGAATCAGAATCCCTTTATCTTGATTGGCCTTTCATGGGATGAACTATCTGTAAATCAGAAAATATCGTTCGAGCTGATCTTTAAAATGACTATAATTTTAAGATGTTTGGACTACTGAATTTATTATCGTTAACTACCCGGAAAGTAACGAAGCATGATTCCATACGAATAATAGTAACATTATATTTTGGCTCATGTTCAAATGTACTGAAAGCTTGTTTTAAAAATGTCTTCTCTTAAAAATGTTCTACTGTTGTAATCATACAAGTTATTTTCACAAACGAGATATATTGCTTTATTTTATGCTGTACGGTTAGCTTGCCTTTCATATACATTAAATGTGTTCTGCTTTAGCTAAAGTGTTGTTTAATGTTTTCTAATATCCTGAAGGATTGCGTTGAACATTACATTTTACATTACACGCTTAAATACACTAAAAGCCTTTTTCCTGAATATGATGTACTGACCTGCTATCTCAACTTCAATCACTTTCACACCGCCATAACGTAGCTTCCTTCTGCCTTTTCTATAAATATTACCATGGTAATTATTCTGGTGACCACTCCTCTTTGGTAGCTCGACTTTATGAGTTTAAGCGCAGTACCCGATTGGCGACAGCATCATTGATTTTATAGTTTAAATCGTTAGATGTAACCGTAAGTTCTATGTTAACAGTTTCTTCTCTCACATTTCACGCTTGTAGGACACTCTTCCGACTTGTTGCTTTCTAGTCAATATTGATCTTCAAAAATGTATATGGAATATCAACCGTCATCTGTCTTCTTAATTCCTGTATGTTTGATTCTCCCCTCTCTTAATAATAATTTTATTTCACATTTAGTAACCTCTGGCGTTTTAGTGGCTTTATTGCCTTGCTTAGAGTAAAATTCAGAAAAGCGATTGATTCTCTAAAACACAAATAGATTTTCCCTACGATTTATCATTAGCAGTGATCTTCCTTTCTTGCTGAACATTTTCCTCCTTCTTTGTTCTGGCCAATATAAATATCGACAGCCAAACAGTTGAGATGTTCTTCAGCCGGTGTGTGCGTCTGTGTGAGTCTGTGTAAACACTAATAAAAATAAGAGATTAAATCTTACCCCAAATACCTGTTCTTTTATTGTTCTCGTTCCTTAGTAATGTTTTTCTTTTCTTTTCTTTTTATATTCACTCACATACCTTGCGTATTAGTGGCTTTATTGTCTTGCTTATAGGGAAATGATTTAAAAAGGACAGAGATAATTCAGAAAAGCGATTTTCTTTGAAAAATAAAGAGATTTTCCCTTCGTCTTATCATTAGCAGTGATCTTTCTTTCTTGCTGAGCATTTTCCTCCTTCTTTGTTCTGACCAATATAAATATCGACAGCCAAACAGTTGAGAGGTTCGTCGACCAGCATGCCTCTGTGTGTGTCTGTGGAATCACTGATAAGAGAGTAAATATTACCTAAAATTATTGCTTATTCACTTTTGAACTTTGTCAGTTAATGTCGATGTTAGGGTGTGTGATTTGGGGGACTTTCATCGATCGTTGATCTAATCGCAAGAATATGAGATACACTGTTTTTTTTTTATCTATTTCTCAATTTGTGGAACTTAATTCCGGCTTCTTGTCTTCCATTCAACTTGGTCTTTAAAAATTTTAATGTAATGTCAATCGTTATCATGTGTTTTTTTTTTTGTTTTTATTATTCATGTTCTCTCTCCTCAATTATGTTTCTCATTTTCTCATATTCTCTCACAACACTTGCGTGTTAATATCTTTATTTCCTCGCTTGGGGTTAAATGATTTCTTAAAAATATATGACGAACATATTTTGAATAGTCTTCACCACATGAGTGAGTAGTATAATCAATAATATCAAAGAAGAGACGGTTCTCTGTCCGTCACGCAGTCTGCAAGTGACTTTGCATACGTTTATGCAATGTATATGGCTGTATCTGTGCTGTGTGTCAGTCCCTTACATACACACACACACACACACCAAATTTAACTGAGTTTCAATAGAAAACCGACACTCTCCAAGCAGTCTGAACAACGCCTACTGTGAGCTGAGCCATAAAATTACAGACAAGAAAAAAAAAATTAATTTTTTTAAGTCTATAATAATCAGTTAATTATAAGATTTTCGTGAATTTTTCGGAAATCATTCGGTAATATATATATATTTTAAAGTATGTTATTTCAATTTTGTAGAAGTTAGAATTAAAATATACATGTACACATGCAAACGTATTTATGAATAAAAATGACAATAGGAAAACTGGTAATTGCTGACGCATTTCGTCCAATGTAGAGAAACGCTATTTTCATATTTTTTAACTGAAAAATAACGTCAGAGATTGTCAGTTAAAAAATATGAAAATAGCGTTTCTCTACATTCCAGTTGCTAGGTACATTCTGTTTTTGTTTTTATTAGTTACTTTGTTCATTTAATTTCATTTTCGTATTTTGCTTTGATAAAGTCCACATTGGACGAAACGCGTCAGCAATTACCAGTTTTCCTATTGTCATTTTTATTCATAAATATTGTCTTCTCTACCGATTAAATCGGAGAAATTTTCATGCAAACGTATATAACGCGCAATGTGAATATAACTGAAATAAACATCTGAGTCACAAGAGTTAATTCCCTTTTTCTTTGTCAATGGCGACTAAATTAGAGGAAAAGTTTTTAATCCGAAATGTAGTGACCTTTAGAGTCATTTTCATAATTCCAATATTTATGGAGGTAGTATTTTAAATGCAAAAACAATTTAGATTTGTTATTTGATTATCTTTCTCTCGGTGAAGCGATAGGTACTAGACTAATAAGTTTAGATTGTGTAACTTCTAACGTCTTCTAATTTGGGGCGCTTTGGCGTGGGGTAATCTGGCAGACCACGAGTAATGAGCTCAATGATTACTGCGGGCTCCATACTTTGGGCCCTGTCTCAAATTAAGGTGATATTACTAAATGTCAACTCACGAATATTGAAAATTATTATTAAAAGAGAAAAGTAAAAGAAAGAAGGGAGGAAAGAAAGACGGAAAGATAGAAAAGAAAGAAAGAAAGAAAGAAAGAAAGAAAGAAAGAAGGGAAGATAAAAAAGAAAGCATAAAGAAAGAACTGAGAAAATCTAGTAAGAAATGGGGAAAGAAAGAAAGAAAGAAACTAAGAAAAAAGAAGAATACAAAAACAGAAAGAAAAAAAGAAAGAAAGGGAAAATTAATAAACAAAAGAACCGAGAAAATAAGAAAAAGAGGAAAAAACAAAATAAAGACACGCGTAAATAAGAAACAAATAACGAAAGGAATGAGAAATAGAAAGAAAAAACAGAAAATAAAGAAGAAATAAAGAAACGAGGAAGAAAAAAATGAGAAGAAAAGGAAAAATTAAAAACTGAGGAAAAGAAAAAAATGTGAGAAAGAAAAGAAGACGAAACACAAACCTGAGTATAAAAGGAAAAAAGATTAAATGAGTAAAGAAAGAAAAGAAAACAAAAGAAACGATTAAATAAGAAAAACGGAAATAAAGAAACGAGAAAGAAAAGAACTGAGAAAAAGAAAAAAAATCGTAGAAAGAAACACCTATGAATAACAGAGAATAAAAAGGTAAAAAAAAAGTGAAATAAGATAGTGAGAAACTAAAAATTACTGAAGGAATAGAAAGAAAGAAAGAAAGAAAGAAAGAAAGAAAGAAAGAAAGAAAGAAATAATTTAATAAAAAGTTGAAAGAAAAAGAAAGATAGGGAGAAACAAGGAACTAAAAGATAGTGAAGAAATAGAAAGAAAGAAAGAAAGAAAGAAAGAAAGAAAGAAAAAGAATTTAATAAAAAGTTGAAAGAAAAAGAAAGACAGAGAGAAACGAAGAACTAAAAGATAGTGAAGAAAAAGAAAGAAAGAAAGAAAGAAAGAAAGAGAAAAGAATTTAATAAAAAGTTGAAAGAAAAAGAAAGATAGGGAGAAAGGAAGAACTAAAAGTTAATGAAGAAATAGAAAGAAAGAAAGAAACAAACAAACAAACAAACAAACAAAAGAATTTAATAAAAAGTTGAAAGAAAAAGAAAGATAGGGAGAAACGAGAAACTAAAAGTTAGTGAAAAATAGAAAGAAAGAAAGAAAGAAAGAAAGAAAGAAAATAAAAAAGTCGAAAGTAAAAGAAAGGGAGAAATGATGAACTAAAAACAATTGAACGAATAAAAAGAAAGAAAGAAAAAACGTAGCAAAAAAGATAGCGAGAAACAAGGAATTATAAATAATTTAAAAAATAGAAAGAAAGTAATAATGAAATAAGAAAGAATCAAAAGATAAAATTGTCTTTGATATGAATTTACAACGGATGTTTTTGTCTACTAAAATCTCAAGTTTCAATAAATGATAAGAAAATAAAGCAACAATTATAATGAGGAACCGCTGGAATTGGCATTTGTCAGAGATTTTGTTTTAAGACCCGAATACACGAAGAGCAAAAGAAAATGCCAAGATGAAATCGATTTTATTAAAGTGATGCGAGACGATCACTTTGTAATAAATCTTGCAACACTGTCAAGGCAGATTATCGGGTCGCTGGGGTTGATAAAAGAGGAAATAAACACTCGAGTCAATGGCGGCAGTAACGAGGAGAAATCGCAAAATCCTAAGACATCGATTTTCAGTAGAAAATGACGCATCAAACAGGCGCTCATTTTCATTTCAGTTTAATGGCAGTAAAAGAACAAAAGAAAAATAAATATATCAGTATATATATATATATATATATATATATATATATATATATATATATATATATATATATTAGCACATCTGAATGATTTCTGAACAGATTTCGCGTGTAAATGCTATATGTTGGTATCAATTATTTATTTACGGCTTCAGTCGTCATAACTCTGCATTTAAAGTTAAAAGTCAAGACATTACGCCTAAAATAATCTATAGTGAATTGGTTAGACGAAAATTATTCTCAGGTAAGAATCTGAAAAATAAAGAAAAACATATTTAGTTGTCTTTACTCGAAATATAAACACTTAGAATTGGAAAAATATGAAACTTTTAATTACATACTACACAGGCAAATATCTATCTATCTATCTATCTATCTATCTATCTATCTACAGGGTGCAATGAGTAAATGGTCGCCATTCATATGTTTAATTTCGCGCATGTGCGTAGATTGTTTTTCATTTTGTCAACTGCAAAGTGTAGTAAAGTTAGTTGGGCACTATCTGTGAGAAAAGAACGCTATCACACAATTCGCTTCGTCTAAAATTTGGAAACGGCATGCTGTACTGCTTGGCATTTCTGAATATGACAATAAAGTGAAAAATGTGAATAACTACAATAACTCGTCTGAGAAATATAAACAGATATATATATATATATATATATATATATACATACACTTTAACAATCAGTTGAATCCTATACCTTGGTTTCATTCTTACGGTATCCTCAGGTGATTTTTATCAAATGAGCGCTTAACGCTTTATATTTTAAAACTAAAAATCGGTATATTATTTTTTTAATAAATAAAAGCACAATGTTAGGTTTAATAGAAAGGGAGGAGGAGGATGAAGGAAGTTTGACTGAAATTCGAACTCTGCTCTCTGATTCCTCAATCCCAGCCGCTATCCATTGCACCACTGCGCCTGCTCGGATCTTGGACTTCCGCTACCTTGCGGCCATATCCAATCATAAATAGGGTTTCCTGTTGGGAAGACCTTGCCAAAACCGAGGGCTTAAGCGAGCAGAGAAGAAACGCATTCTTGCCGCCGGCATTTCTTTGTGTGTAGATACTGGATATTTGTTGTTCTTATATATGCAGATGAATGTTTAAATAACCTAAGAAAATTCTAAAATAAATCGAAGTCTTTTGCTAACGATATTATATAAACATATACTCCGTTTAGCTTAGAACTACTTTTCCGGTTGGCAGAGGTTGCATATATTGTTGGGATTTTTATAAGGTTTCACCTTTTTAAAAAATTTCCAACTTAGAATCGGATCCCTGTTATTGTTTTTTTTCTTTTAAATTAAACACATGGTCAGCGGGTTGGGTAGAACACCTAACACTTACTGGCTTGAATGACAACTTATGATTGTACCATCTATGTTTGAAAGTACAATCAGTACATCTTATGTACATTTTATTTTGGCCATTTATATCTGTTACTTCTGTTTTCTGCATTATTGCTTCGGTTTTACAAGCGCTATCTAATGGACATCTATTCTTATTTCTACAGTTGCATAAATTACTTGTGTTAACTACATTTTGCTGCATGTTCGTTTTGAAATTTCTGGCGTTTTGTCGATTTATTATTGTTTCCAAATTACTAGTACATCTGTAGCTTAATTTAACTGTGTTTTTATTAAATAACTTATGTAATTCTGAATTTTTCCAGAAGTGTTTAGTAAGTAACTTGCAAAATAATTTCCTTATTTTAATTTTACCTCTAAGTTAAAAGAGGGTTAAACCAAATGTTTAGGGGTGTGGTTTATTATATTCGCAGGGTCGTTCGATCTAATATTCATGTATAATTTTGCTTTGGGTTTCATGTTTGGGGAGACACTCCCAGCTTGAAGATTTAATTGTACGTCCAGATAGTTGAAAACTTTTTTATTCATTTCGATTTCTATTCCAAATCCGAGGCTTCGGAAGAGTTTGAAAAGCACTGCTTTATAGTGTAATTTTCACACGTGTATTGAGCAATTTTAATACCACTTGTCCCTGGTCTGGTTCAACTGACTGTTAACCTTATAATATATATATATATATATATATATATATATATATATATATATATATATATATATATATATATAACTAGACTCGTTTCCTTTACTTTCCCTGAAGATCCGTTTAGTTGAAACCTAGGTAGGTTTGTCTGGCTCACTAGGTGTATATATATATATATATATATATATATATATATATATATAGAGAGAGAGAGAGAGAGAGAGATAGATAGATAGATAGATAGATAGATAATTATGTTGCTATCTATCATCTATCTATTTCATTAGGTTTCTATCTATCTGTTTATCTATTTCAGTAGATCTATTTATCCTTCTGTCTATCTGTTGCATTAGATTTCTATCAATCTCTTTTTAATTAGGTTTCTTTCTTTCTATCTATCTATCTATCTATCTATCTATCTATCTATCTATCTATCTTTCTCATTGGTTTTCTATTTATCGAGCTCATTAGGCTTCTATCTATCTATAACACTTATAAAGTAACCCTGATGGTTATCTTATGGAGTAAAGGTCCATATATTTACAACATTTTGGTGTTGCTGCTGTGGTTTGCGTAGCAATTCACTTGATACTGTGTGGCGTTTTAGTTATCCAGCTAACCAGTTTTTTTTTATTTAAGAATTGTCTTTCTCCTACAATAGCTTTCAAGAAACTTATAAAATCAATTTGACTTCCATAGCTATGTGAAAGAAGTGATAGATTCCTATCTTTTAAGGGAATTTGGGTGAAAGTGAACGCAACAAACCTGGATAGAATTCGAAATTGATACATCGGCACCACACTTTAAGCTCTGCTAATAACTAAGTTAATCGTCCATCGAATTTATCACAAAATGTATTTTAAAATGCCTGCGATGCATGTCTTCGACTGCATTCTTCTTCTTCAATCGAAATCGGAACAGATCGATTCGTTCAGTTGCTTTCCCACGAATCCATACGGGTTCTACGAATTTATACGGGCTCGGGAAACCCACGTTAAACTCGGCCTTGTGCCACATGGAATCCTCGTGGGGGAGGGGGTAGATACCAAATCGAGCCGAGCTTCTCGGCTTGACGGTCGAACTCCCTGCCTCTGAGCAAAGAGGAACCCGGACGAGGCTCCACCGAAGGGTAGAGACACGTTCGGGTAGGTTGACCGACCCGATTCTGTTTTTACAGTTTCTACGGGCATTTTCTGGCCGAGCCTACGGGCTCGAGAAACCCACGTAAAACTCAGCCTTGTGCCACATGCAACCCTCTTGGGGGGGGATGCGCTAGATACCGAAACGAGTCGAGCCGATAGTAGTTCACTCCAAACCAAACAGACAGTCATACAAACACCTTCCACATCTTGTATTATTATTTCGTGTAATATACCTTCGTTATTTCTACTCTTGTGTTCGTGTTGTTCTTCCTTGGTCCTAACCTGGACCATAACATTTATCAATAACAGTGTCGATAACATTTTGATGAAAAGGTCACAAATGCAAGAAAAACTACAAAGCATTTCCAGATTTTTCTACGCAATAATTTTACATACTTTTTCGAAAATGCACCCAAAACAAGTGTAACATTGTGTGTGCGTGAACCTCACCAAATAACTTAGGATTGCATGTATTCATTTCAACTCCTATTAATAATCGCATTGTTTCTTTCCTGGTAAACTGACACCTGATTGATGAAAGAAGATTTCAAACGTAACTAACAACGAACTCTCTTCAAAATGAGCAAAATTTATCAACTACCTGCAGAAAAAGAGTTTAGTCACCGATGATATTCATACTGATATGGTTGCTACATCCAGTTTTATCAACTGTGTCAGAATGGGCGACTGAATTCAGGGGAGGAATGGAGAGTCTTGAAGCCGACCCAAGATCTGGATGTCCTGCAACTGCCACAAACGAGAAAAATATGGCGATGGATGACAGGGGGTTGACTATAAATCAATTACCCAATTCTATTAGCATGTCTCCTGAGAGAGTTGACAATATTCTGCACAATGAACTTGGCATAATGAAGGTTTCTCTCACCTGATCAAAATCGCAACAAACTGATGACATAAGGGGTAAGTCTGACAATATTTGAGGCAGTTTCAGCTGGTTTCCAGGTAAGTTTCAGAATGAGTGTTGGAATCATTATTTGAGGGGATCGCTAACATAGTCAGCCTATGAGATTTCCAGCCCACCCTCGTAAGACGACACATATATTTTAGAAATATTTGAAAGGGCCAGTTGACAGTTACAGGTTTCTTGATATCTGAATCTTGGTCAGTACCAAGATGGTTGACTACTTGGGAAGAACAGGTGCTGTGAGTTTGGATATGTGGGTGCTGTAACGGATAAAGGCTAGGATTTTGAAATTGGAGTGCCTAGTTCCAGTTCGAGTCGAGTTCGGTTTGTTATATTTACTTACGCGCAATTACCATTGGGAAAGTTATGATTCACCCTTCTTCCACCCGATATGGATTAATTACTAGAACATGTATCAGTAAATTATTATTACTTCTGAAGATATTCTTACATTCAAAAATTATACCCACCTTTTAATTAACAGGCAAAAGGTGAATAAGCCGAAAAACACAAATCAGTTATTTCGTTTCAATAGTATTTCATAACGGATACACATTTAGCATTCATTCTTTTTAGCTCAAATGATTTTCATTCTGCCATCTTGTTTAATATAGAGAAGTAGTATCCGCTACCGTCAGTAAACAGAGATAATCCGATATCAAAATATTCGATGATCCGATATCAAAAGATATTGTATATGAGGCTCGAACTCGTATCCCATATCTTAACTTAAATTCTTGGCAGAGCGTCGAATGATCAGACAACGCAGGACTGATCTCCCGGTTGCGTTGGGAGATGGCGTCCTACAAGCGGCTCTAATATACAGATGGCGAGTTGAAGTGATAGATGACTCTGGTGAGATGATCAACATGTCGTCTCAGGACGTGATTTAGTCAACGAACGGCACTGAACGATGGTGAGAAAGTTGGTTAGTTGGCCCTCCGACGGAACCCCTTAGTATTTGCTTTACGAATTCAAATTGCAAAAACATTTCAAAATTGTTTCCTCGGCATTAAGGCATATTTTATGAAGACTGGATGTTCTGCTATTAATCATATACGTTATTAGTTTATTTACTGATA